GAATTATTTAGCCTGAGATCAAAACAAGGCTTTCTATGTTCCTCAACACAACATCAGCTAAAGCTCTATAGTGCGTATGAAAGAAAGCTGAAAGCTATTACTGAAATCCACACTTAGTTGAGATTGTATATGCAGCATGAACATCTGGTATTAAAATAATTCCTATTTGTTTTGTTATGATAAATAAGAATTATATCAATTCAAGATGAGAAGACAGTAGCCTAAAATATTTCCGTGGGTAATATTATCACCTTAAGTTAATTTTCATGTTACACCTGCCTCTGTAAAAAATAAATATGTGCTTACATTTATATTTACATGTTGTACATAATTCACTAGTTCAAAAATCTTTATAGAATTTATAAGGAGAGTATGATAAAACCTATACTTGAAGCATATTTTAGAATTTTTACAAATTACAGATCTGACTGTTTTTGTTGCTGCTGTCGTCAAACCCCTCACAATATGGGAAACAGAAGAAATATATTTCAATTATTCATCACAGTCACTACTGACAGATGTGCCTTCATCTACAAGTCTAGCAGCCTCCTCGAAATTTTGGTGTACTAAGCTTAAAAGCCAGATGCAATGTGTTGCTGTAGAGTGACCTCACGGCCAGGACCAAGATTAGAAGTTAGGTGTCCCCAGATGTGAGTGTAGGTGTGGAGTTTCTGTTGATTTTTTAATGTCTCATTTCTCTTCTAGAGAATAAATACCAGCCTGGCAGCAACACACATCAGCTCCAATTTGCCTCTTTTCTGCCATAATACACAGCACATCTGTGGCACAATCACATCAGTTACTCTGTGCTGGTAGGGTTTTTTCAAGCAGTTTTTTTCTCGGTCTGACTCAGGAAAAACTCCACAGACATCACTGAGAAGTACAACATGACAAAGGTTCAGTAGCATTGCCAGAAGCTTGAAGACCTCCCCCAGGGAACACATCTGGTTTTGTCTGCTTTGGAAATAAACCAGTCCAGGAGATAGCCCCATGTACTGAGGACCACACAGACTCCTTGGCACTGTATACACAACTTGAAGAACTGTGCTTTAACTGCTCTGTGGAAACCACAGTAAGTTCTCATGTTGCTGATAGTCAGGAATTAAAAATAAAATGCTGTCTGTTAGTAATGAAGTTGTTGCAAAATAAAAAAAATATTTTGCTTAATGAAGGTTAAATATTTGCCGTTTCTAACAGCAGTAAATGTTTTCACCCCGAGCTTCCTAACTGGCTTCCTCTTCTACTCTGACTCACTCTGTTTTGTCACACTTCAGAAATATTTAAGCCTAGAAAAGTCTTTGAAGTTATTTGTCAACTGTCTTACAAATGCAGTTTAAAAGGGACTGCAACACATGGTTGTGTTTTCAGCTACAGCTATCAATCCAGACATTCTCTCAACCAGGGAAACCTTGTGGAGTTTTTCATCTTAAGAAAATATGATCAGCTTCAAAGAGTAGCAGGATGCTATCTGGTACCAAAATGACACTAAGAATGACTTTGAAGTCTCTTCTTCATAAATAGTCCCCATGGTTTCAATGCAAGTTTTTGCCAAGTAAGAATCTAAATCCTGTATGAAAGAGAGTGATATAAGTTCTGTTTTGTATAAATTGCACCCAGCATAAAGTTTAAATGCCTGTAATTTGGTTACGTAGTGTTTCATGTTCAGGAATATGATCTTTCTGCTTGGAAGGATAAAATTCTGAAATATGAACAGAGATAAAAAAGTGAGTTGAAAGCTGATGCCTGTCTTGTTTGAATGAACAGCTTCTGGTCAGACAAACTCACATTACTGCACATGCAGCAAATGTAATGTTAAATATTCTGCCTCACTACAGTTCCACTTGTGGCTGTGAGCAGGGTTGGATTAAAACTATGTGAAGTTGACATTTCCAGATCAAGGCACAGGCAGGAACAAATGTGCTGTGCACTCTGTGAATGGAGGATCTTGTCCAGAACACTCTTCAATCTTCCATTGAAGCACACAGCTTTGTGGTTCGCCAGTGTAGACCGGAGCCAAAATCAGAGCAGAAAATTTTCCTACCAAACCCCCATGATCTTCAGACACTTTGACACACATGTGGGTACCAGCAAGCCAGAATCTGTCTCTATGGATATGTGTTAGTAGATATCATTAATTTCAATCTTCCTTGGTATTTTTGAGCACTAGATTGCATTTTACGCATCTTACAGGGATGTGCAGCCAGCACCAATGCTCCCATTTTACCCAGTGAGCATCCCCCAAGCCAGAGAGCAAGATTTGTTGTAAAGCTTCTCTTCAAACATTTTGAACCTCAAGCACTGAGGTCATGTTTCAGTCTAGGAGACAGAACTAGCCCTAATTTGAAGTAAATCTCCTAAACCACATATAATCTAGTTATGGTTCTCTCAATACCAATTGCTTTAATAAATTGACCTCCTCCTATTGTGCTTCATTACTTAATAATGAAGATGTAGCCTTTGAAAAATGTAAATGTTTAAATACTGGTATTAATACATGCAATGATATTGTGATATAAGCAATGATTACAATTGTCCTTCAAAACACTAGTGTTTAATTTGGCAATGAAATAATAAAATTAAAAAATAGAAAAGGTGAGCTGAACAGTTAGTTCAGTTAAAAGTCACTCTGATAAAATGTGAGTACAGTTAATTTAAATTAACCAACACCCTGTTTAATGAAGTATTATAAATATAGTAATATTAATAACATTACTGTAATATTATGCAATGTTATATTTAAACAAATTGCTTTGTTTTATTCAACTAAAAGATGAGACACATAAAAAGGTCACAAATATGAATATATCAGACTAGGTAAGAATTACCTAAGCCTCATAATTGAAGTAATATATTCAGTAGAAAAGACCTAACAGGCCTCTGTTGTACAAGGTTGCATAAAAAGGGGAAGAGAGAAAAGGAGTAAATGAGATTCACAAATCTGCTTTTGTTGCAGTAAAACTGAGCTATCAAATGGAAATGCTGGAAAGAGCTGGCTTGGAGCCAAGTGAATAGTGGGTTTGGGTTTGGGTTTTTTTCCCCTTCTTACTGATACAAAAATAAAAACGAACTTTTAACATCAGAGAAGAATTCCAGACAATTAAAGAACAAAAATCCAGTTTCATTCACAGATAATCGTAAAAAAAGCAGCAGAAAACAAAGTCTAGCTTCACAAAGTTGTCATTGAGACTTCCTTTTTAAAATATTCAGTGTGGTTTAGATACTTCCTGAGGATCTGAGAGCCCCAGAAACAAATACCATCTCCACCTCTTAGGCAAGGTTTTGGTAGCAGGAGGTTGACTACAAGGGTGGCTTCTGTGAGAAGCTTCTAGAAGCTTCCCCCATGTTTGACATAGTCAGTGTCAGCAGGCTCCAAGACAGACCCACTGCTGACCAAGGCTGAGTGAGCCCTTCAGTGACAGTGGCAGCACCTCTGGGATAACAAATTTTAGAAGGAAAAAAAGCTAATGCACAGAAGCAACTGCAGCTAGAGAAGAGAGGAGTAGGAATATGTGACAGAAACAGCCCTGCAGACCCCAAGATCAGTGCAGAAGGAGGGAGAGGAGGTACTCCAGACACCAGAGCAGAGATTCCCCTGCAGCCCATGGTGCAGAGAATGGTGAGGCAGCTGTGCTCCTGGAGCCAATGGAAGTCCATGGGGGAGCAGAGATCCACCTGAAGCCCCTGGAGGAACCCCTGCTGGAGCAGGTGGATGCCTGAAGGAGGCTGTGATGGCTTTGGTGGGCACATGGTGTCCAGCCAAGGTCAAACCACCACACACACCTTAAGACAGATGTGAATTATCAGTCTGAGGTATAGCTGGGAATAAGTAGCTCCTTTATTTTAAATTATCCATCCATCCTAGTTAATCTTTTCATTGTAATCTAAAATTCACTGGAATTTTTCCAAATTCTCTCCTTTAGAAAGTCAGTAACACTTGTTTATCCCAGAAATGTGCTGAAGAGTTGTCTAGAAAGAATTCTGGGAATGGAGATTGTAAGATAAGTGCTAAGTATTATTGATTTGGGAATGTGCTGCAATTATTCTAATAATATGGCAAAGACCAATCATTGAGTTGGACTGTCATGCTTGACACACTTCATGTCTCCCCTGGGAGTATCATTGGTGACCACATGGAGGGGCAGCAGGGGGTAAAAGTCCAAAGCCCAGACAAGGCTCAGCATGCTCTCCACATCATCTCAGGTCTGTCCCACAGTATACCTTGCCAGACAGGATATTGGGGTAACAAATGGGAGCTTCCTTCTCCCACAGCAGGGAGTCTTCAACTTCTATCACTCTTCACTTCCTCTTGCATGGATTAGGCTCTGCAAGCTCTGATACTTTGCTGGAAAGAGCTTTCAGCCTCTCACCTGGTACCAAAGCACTGAAGCTATTAAAGAGCTACAAGGGCCACTCTTGTCTCTGATACACCCTCCAGTCACCCATGACCTTTCAAACTATCTTTTGTTCTGGTTTTATACAGTATCTATAAGGATCCACATTTGTTTCCTAAGTGGTATGATAATACAGAACAAACTCATGATCATTTGGTGTTACCTTGCTGTAATAAAAGTTTAAGAGTGAGAGTAAGTGGCAAGTTATTTCAGGTTTCATGCTACCTCTGTGGTTCTTTGACACTATGATAACTCTTATATAGAGAGGCCTATTTATGTTAAACTTTCATTAAATCAGGGTAGATACCAAGTCACAAACTCTTGCCTTCTGAAATGCTCAGTTTAATGAATGAATTCAGCCTAAAGCATTATGAGGCCTGTTCAATTACATTACAATCCTGTGCTGGAACTGAGAATTCCTTTTCAACAGAGAAGACTATGAAAATATCGAGCTTCACGGCTGCACTTCTGCCAGCAAGAACATTTTGTAATCTTTGGATTGTGGCATCTTCATTGCTGGCTGAAATATGGATCACATTTGGCTCCTTAAAACAACAGATTGAAAATCAGTATGAGTATATGAATAAAACAAAAAAGAAGAAATAGCTCCATATTCAAGCAGAATTTTATTCAAAATCCTGGAAGTACAGATCTACATTTCCAAAGGTAGCTAGTCATTCTGATGTTTGATTTGACACATCAAAGCAGACTCAAGTCTTCACAGCAGTAAAGTTCAGCAATCTGTAAAAAACCAGGATCTGCTCTCAGGATGGATGAGACATTACATAGTGAACCCCCCAGACGAGTAGTCACTTTTAGGGAAAGACAGCAAAAGGAAGAAACAAAAATGCATATACTTCAGTAAATTCAGCAATGTGGATATATGTTTTGTCCTTTTTCTCTTTCTATTTATTTCTCCTACCTCTTTTCCCTGCATTTCTTACAGTTTCTGTCTCTGTTTTCCTGAACTGTGCTCTCTTCAGTTCCCTTCAGGAATTCCTGACCTCCTGTTCTATGTCTCCCCTTTCATTCCCCTTGTCAGTGCTGCTTCTTTTTCCTTTTGCTAATTCCTCTTCTTCTGGCAATAAACACAGTGGGCTGACCTCTGTGTGAGCTGTTCCTTTTTGTCCATTTCCATAACCACTACCTACTGCATCTCTCAACTAGTATATTACTCCCTCATTTCTTCCCCAGACCCTTACACAGAAGGGGGGGTGTGAATGGAGATGGTTTGGTGAATATAGGAGCTTAAGCTAGATTGCTCCTAATTTTTCTCCTGTCATATATCTTTTCTGTCACCTCTTCTCTCATGATACCTTCCTGTTCAGAACACGGACTATAGCTAGTGAAGAGAGAACCAATTGTCTCTAGCAGCAGTCCCCCGAGAAGGTGCATCTAAATTCCCAAAGGAAATCCAACAGATCCCAAAAATTTCAGCACCTCCATCAATTTGAATAAACTGCTTTGTTCTAAAGCTGTTCCTTCTTCATGGATTTTAATAGGAAATTGAGGAGATCATGATCTTTGAAAACTATGATTGCCTTCGCTAGAAGCCGCAGTTTAACATGAACTTTAAAATTATGCCAACATCTCAAAACTCTGAGTTATTTTTTAGTTGTATTTTAGGCCTACTCTATAACCAAAATGTTCCTACAAGTAGTAACTCTAAAGTAAAGGAGCATGTCAGAAGGCTATACTGGTTAAACAGTTCTTAAACCAGTAATAACTTAATTCATGCTACTCTTGTAACTAAGATGCCACTGTCTCCAGATCTCACAAGATCAAGATCAGAAGTGCTAGTCAAGGAGCTACCTGTATTTTTACATCACCAACCCCTAGGAACGTGGGAAGCAGCTTCATTTAATGGCAAAATATGCTGAGTTCATATATTCTGCAAGGTCACGGCACTAAAAATATTCCTCTTACAAAGCTAACAAACTCTGTTTCCTTAGGGTTGGAAGCTTTCCCCTTCTACTACGAAGTTCATACATTTCACTGAAGCAGAGAAGGTAGGCACATTTAGAAGACTATGCTAAAATCTACCAGCTTATAAGGAACAGGTTTGCTCCACAAAAGCCACACTCCACAGACTGTAAAGAAATACATTCCCCAGGGCACTAGCTGACCATTGCAGGCAAATACTAAAATACCTGAAAGGTTCCCTAGATCAAACTCTTTCCAGGAGACACGTTGGAAGAGAGCTTTTCCAAACAACTGAATTTGTTAAGGTTGGGTGTTAAGAACAGCAAGTAAGGTTCATTATGAGCATGAAACCAACACTCACCACCTATCAGTAGGAAGCAAGTGATTATTCCACACATTTACAAAAGGTTTCAGAATATGAAATAAGGTGACTCAACATAGCAGTCCTAAGCAGATTTCTTATGCAAAGATTTCAAGCCTGTTAGCTACTTATTAAAGGAAGAGGTGAGTTAGTTCTGCAGAAAGATGCCCTGCAAGTTAAAAATAAGTTGTTATAGTGAACGTTTCTTGTTATCGACTCTTACTTTTTATTCTTGCATGTCTTGAGTAGAGTTGAGGCTGTAAAAGTAAACTGCTTCTGTTCTGTGACACTGCTTTCAGGCTTCTAATGGAGAAATTGTTTTTCACATCCCAAACTCCTTCTACAGCCACTGTTAATAATTTGGCAAAACAATAGCGTTATAACTGATTACTTCAACTTGTTCTAGAATTAATGAAATAATACACCACAATATTCTTCCAAAGTTAATGAAAATAGATTGACATCTTCAGAGAGCAATTCAGATTGCTAAAGGCATACAACGCTCTCTACTGCCTGTAGAACAGATTAAGACTACTAAAGCTCCTAACTGAAGAACAATATAGCTTGGCTATAATATATAAGAAGCAGCAGTAATATCACTGATGCATCCACCAGCATCATTTTTCGGTCACACTGAAATATCAAATGCCCTCATAAAAAGATAGAAGAAAATATCCCTCCCCCTCCAAAAAAAAAAACCAAAACATGAAAATAAAAACCCAACAAAACCCAAACCAACCAAAACAAAGCCAACACCACCAGAATTAAATAAAAAGCTAATTTATTTTGTGGAAAGGTTACAACTTACTAGCCATCTAATTTATGTAAAACAATAAATTTTCATAATCTAAACGGTGTAAATCAGTAACTATCCAACCTGGTAACTATTGTTTATCAGAGCTCAGGCCACTTAGGGAGCATGTCTAATTCTCCAAATGAAACAGATGAAAAAGGAACTCAGTACTCACTGAAGAATCTGTACACCACCATCCATCTGCCTGTATTTATTATTCATAGCATTGTTGTATTATGCCTACAACATTATGCTATAATATCATTTCTATACTGAACATGTAATACCATTTCTATACTGAGCGTGTCATAGATGCATATTATTCGTTCCTGTAATAAATATTTTTGTAATGTTTCTATGTTATCTTTAGTACTTTAAGCCTTTGTAGCGTACCTTTCACTTTCAGACTCCTCACAATTCATCAGAACATATAAGGTAGCATCCAATTACACAATCAGACTGAAATATTGCAGACAATTTTAATTCACTGGCAGATGGATACAGCAAAATAGTTGTGTTCAGCTCCTAGTAACGTTAGGAACATGAGCAGATTGAGCAGACCAATGTTAACATCTGAGATTCAGCTACATGTTCAGGTAGCGGAACAGGTTTCAAAGTGCCTTTTTCTCTTCATTTACTATAAACAGAACCTGCATAAGTCAGTCGTTTGCAGGTGTGTGCTGTAATTGCCTAACAAGCCTAATCACAAAAATACAGGTGCAGGCTCATATGGGCTTTACATCTGATACCTAATTTAAGTACATTTTTGTCTGTGAATCCAACAGTTTTAAATTCATTTTGACTGAGTTTAGAATTGGGTCTCTCAATCCTACACAAGAGAAACTATTCCAATAATTACAGCACTTCTTTCAAAAGAAAAAGGTAATAAAACCTCTTCCTACTGCTTGGCATTTGTTTCAGCTTTATTAAACTGATAGATCACATGGAATTATCCATGTTCTCTGCGGTCCCATAATTTCTGACAAAAAAGAAAAAAAATAATAAAGACTATATTCAACTCTTGTGTTTCTAAATGTTCCCAAGGATATCACATAAATGTTCTGGGTTGCTATTTTTTTTAAATAATAATTTTGCCACAGTTCCTCAAAGCAACCATTTGTCCTGACAAACACTTTCCCTTTGCTGATAAGGAGGATTACCTGCAGCTGGATGTTTAACATCGCATTCTTCTTTCTGAAAATGAAGGTGCTCCTCAAGTATTTCTTTAACTCTCCTAGGTGGCTCAACACATACACATTTCTTCCCTGCTAGTAAAACATATTACAAAAGAAACAGTTATTACGAGTCCCCTGAAAGCTGACATGCTTTGCTGAACGCAACATCAAATTATGCTGCTCTGCTTCTGTCTTTAATACACTGTCATTTTAATACATCATAACTCTAATACAGTGTAAGACAAATCATTTACAAATATAGAATAGTGTTCAGCCGACCCCTGTTCCCCAACACCGAGTGAATCCTCAGGATAGGAGGATGGTACAGGACAGGACCCTGGTGGGTACATCCATAGGGGGTGTGCTTATAGCCAAGGCCACCCAGGGCACTCGGGGAGACACGGCCACTGAGCCTCCCACCGACAGACATTCCAAGGCAGGGCCGTGCATGAACGAGCACCCAAGGAGATGTCCTCCCTGAAAGAGGTCTCCAAGGAGCTGAAGAGGGATGCGGGCACCTCATGGCGGCAGGGGAGTCTCTGCCTGACAGGGCGGTGCCTGCACCAGGGCTGCAGTGCCAGGGGCGGCGAGTGGCCGCCGAGGTGCCCGGGGGGCATCAGTGAGGAGCCGCGGGTGGCTGGCTTGGCTCCCCGAGGGGACACGGCGGGGCAGGCCCGGAGTGGGGCAGGGGCGGCCGGGGACCAGGACCGCTGTGCTCACGGGGCTGCTCGCCGCGGGCATCTCTGCTCGGCTCCTCGGCGCCGCCGCCGGCAGCTCCCGGCCCCGCGCCCTCATGGCCGCCGTGCCCGGGCGTTGGCGTCGGGCTGTTTGCCACGGGAGGTTGCCGGGCCGCTCGCAGCGGGGGCGGGGCCGTCACGTCGGGTGCGAGTTCCCGAGGGATGGAGCCCAGAGCCTCGGGCAGCCCTGTGCCCGGGGCCGGCGGATCGGGTCCCACATTTTCGGTCACAGCGGGGTGTTCTACCCCTTCCACAGGCCAGGGATAAGCGCGGGGGTGCCCCTGAGGTCCGGTGCGGCCAGCTGCCATCCCCAGAGGACAGCAGACCGTGGCCACCTCATGCCTGCTTGGGGCACAGGTGGGTGGCAGCTCTCGGAGCCATTAACAGCTACTCCTTTTTGTCACTCAGCATGACCCCACGGAGGAGCGGGGCACGCACATCACTGGGTACCCCCGTGGGGTGTCACCACTGGCCTGCCTCATGCAAGGATGCCTTGTCATCCTCACTCCAGGCAATGGCAGACTGACAGGAGTAACAAGAGAAGAGTCCTGTTTAACTGATGTAGATCTACTGATACTCAAAAGTACTAGCTTGGTTGTAAAATGAGGCATTTTGAGACATTGTTTATAGGTCTGAAGTATACTTGACTCTCCTTGTTTTGCCACAGTTACAGTTTTGAGTAAGAGGAACAGTTGCCATTTACAGTAGTCAATGGATGATGCTGCCAGCAGGCACACAGGGAAGCTGTCCTGCTCACCTGGCTGAAAGCTTTCCTCCATAGTAGCTCCCTCGAAACCAACTCTTTGCATATGGTAGTGAGAATTTATAAGATACAAACGAAGTCTCGTTACACAAATGCATGATGTAATCCATGTCTGTATTACTCCTTGACACATTTCAAAGCATATTCATTTTCCACTGATGTCCGGAACCCAAATTTTCAAAAATAATAAGCATTAAAATCATCTTATACCATTCATAGTTCAGAGGCTGTTCTTCATTTTCTAACAGAAGTGCTGCACATTACACACTCCTTCTAAAAGATGGGTGATGGAAATGCCCTCCAAAGTCGCTTGATGAGAGCACCAAATGTGGGCCAACATACCCCAACCCTGCTGCTGCTGCTGTGACAATTGTGCTTCAGCTGTGTTAGTGATGTCTGAAAGGAGCATGGGATCACTCAGTAAGAAACCTGCATGGGACAATAAAGTGCTTTGTTACAGCTCTCATATTGAGAAAAAACTGACAGAACTTCAGGTCTTACATTCAAGTTTCAGTTCAATTTGTTTAGCAGAGAGAAGCAAGTTTCTCCACTTCTAAATTACAGATGGCAAAGTTGAAGCTGAAAATCATGCAGCATGCCAGTACCATGGGAAAATCTTTAATGTACGTCTCAGTTTAAAGAGACAGAAGTGTTTGCTAAGGAGGGCGGGATACGAGAAAAACCAAGCTCCTCCTGAGTAATTATAACTTTGAAACTAAGAGGCTCCAGTCGAAAAGGTGTGGAAAAGAAAATAACAGCTATTTACTAAAGGAGAGAGAGAGAGAGAGAGAGAGACAGAGAGAACACAAACCAAGAAGCAATAATCCCGCAACCAAACTCCCACCGAAAACAATTCGGTACCTTTTGTCTCTCGGCGCAGTTAAAACCATCCCCAGCAGGGGGCGCTGGCGCCTCGGGAGGGGGCCGCAGTGCCCCACGGTGGCCGGCAGGGGGCGCTGTTGGGCTCTGGCGGCCGTTGGTCCCGGCGCGCGGGGGCGGCCGGGTCGGAGCAGGGCACGGGAAGGGAGAAGGGAAAGGGGGGCTCCTCCTGCGCACTCACGCTGCCAAAGGCTGGCTCTGGCTGGGGATCCCCTTCCTCTTCCCCTTCCAGTGCCGGCTGCTGCCAACACTGGGGAAAGAGGAGGGGAAGGGCGGCCCTTCCCCCCCAAAGACTACTCCGCAGATGGCACTGGAATTTCCGATGAATTCCAGGCAAGTCCAGGCAGTGGGCAGAGCAGAGCAGAGCGCGAGGACTCAGATGCGAACTGGGACCTCCCTCGGGGCCAGAAGCCAAAAAATGACCCGGCCGAAAGAAAAATGAACCCCGGACCGCTTCTCTTCACACACCCTCTCCGAGTCCGGGCAAAAGCCAAGTCCCACCTCCCAAGGAAAAAAAAAACCAATAAAAAGCTGCCCCTACGCCCAGCTGAGGCTACAGGAGGATGGGGGTTCTCCTTTACCAATTTAGCTGGTGTGCCGAGGTTATTTAGGATTTCAATGAAGCAGTCCAGGGCTCGAAGAGTTCTAGCTTGCTGGCAAGGAGCTGTTGGTGTGGGAAAATTTACTAGGAAAAAGTAACAAATTATAAAACTGTAACAATGTACTAACTCAAAGTGGAAGAGAAACACTAAATTACCTGTAACTAAATCAGCTGTAACTAATCAGACAAAACAGTATGCTTGCTGTTTATCCTCACAGAGTTGAGGCTCATTTGTCCAACCAATGCCACGTCCCTAACCTTAAATCTTTAAGCAATTTAATTTTGCAAGGGAAAAGTAAACAGGATCTTGATAGAAAGTCATTTCCTTGAAAAGTAACAGGAAAAATAAACCAAAACTCCTTTCTCACCCTGTGGATAATACTTAGTATTTATGAACAGGAACTTGCATTGATAAATGAGCTTTCAATTAAACATATGACAAAGTACTTGAGGTTAAATATTTTATTTTATAATAAGCCTTATACCAAAATCATTAAATATTTTGTGTATCACCCAAATAAGTTACATTCATTCTGAGCTTTCATGCAGTTTTAAAAAAGTTAAAATTTCTCAAAAAATTCATTTTAAAGTGAGTTGCAATAAACTCTGCCTAACCAAGCCAGAATTCTTTCATATCAAGTAAATATTCCAGTTTTCTTTACTGCTACGACACTACAGACCAATTAGACAGACCCCTCCAAATTTGCACTAATTAAATGGCAACAAACAGAAACTACTGAGACTTTGTGAATACCTTCAGTAACAGTAGTAACACTTCAAAGCATGAGTGAGACAACTGAGCTGAATTGCAAGAAGTGACATTTTGCCTGGGAGAACAATAAAGTATCTTACATTACATTACATTTACCTTGCTGCAAAGAGACAGACCACCACTGATGAGCATGCAGAACACAAACAAGAAAGTGGCAGCAAACCCCACATTCATAAGCTTAATCACAGCTTTTAAGGGGACACGGCATTTATGCAGTCTTCTGCTATTTCAAAAAGGTAGTGATACATATCAGTCCTCCTAGCAATGTCAAGGGCAGTTTCATCCAAGCTGTTTTTCAGGTCTGGTTTCACATAACGATTCATCAGCAAGAGTTCGAGGGTTTCTCTGCTGTTTTTGTTTCCTGCAGCAATATGCAGTGGGGTCAGCAAACCATTTGTCTGTGCGTTGATGTCTGCGCCTTGCTGCAGCAGGAACGCGGCCACTCTTGTGTTGTTCCACTTGCAGGCGCTGTGAAGGGGTGTCCAGCCGTCCACAGTCTGCGCGTGAATGTCAGCCCCCTGTGCCACCAATTCGTGTGCAATGTCCAAGTGCCCCCTGTAGGCAGCTCGGTGGAGAGGAGTGTACTGGTCTTCATCACGAGCATTTACTGGAGCCAGCTTTTCAGTCAGGAGCCTCTTTACTGTACTCAGCTGTTTAAATAAAACAGGTAATTTCATGTGATTCCGTGAAACAGGATGTATGGCTTTTCCTGTCTGGAAGTTCAGTGGAAAACCAATTTCTGTCAGTGTCAAAAAACGCTTAAGTGCAACAGCAGATTTTAAAATGAAACCAGCTATTGTTACTAGGGTTGGGGGATTTTGTGGGGGTTTTGTTTGTTTGTTTTCCGTGGGTTGTTCTGTTTTCAAAGAGCTAAAACATGAATATTAGTTGCAATGCCTTAAGACTACCTTAACCTTACACCTTCTCCCCATTCACTGTGAAGACATAAGTACCTCCACAGAACTGCAGAGGGGAGCTTTTGTGTGTAAGAAAGGCGACTAATGAAAATAAGTGTACACAAGGGTATAATAACATAACAGGAATCTTGGTTGTCTCTCCCTCACTTCCAAAAATAAAGTTGGATTTCTTTTCCATAAAAATATACAAAAACAGTCACCTGTTATCTGCATATAGAGCTTCAGAAACAATAAATTTCAGATACATCCTCTCCACTCCAGTTAAAAGGCTTATTTGCCAGGAAGAAAGAGCCTGGCATGCTTTCCGTTTATATAAGTTAAAGAGAAGTGCTGTTACTTGAACTTTCAACTGAAATCAAAGCTTGCTTTCTGAAAGCTAATGGATCCAGAGACTTTTCAGTGTGCGTGGGCTACAAAGGGAGATGTTTTACATGCAGTGGCTTGCAAAACCAGATCAAAATAGCTCAGAGAAAGACAGGAAAGTGTAGGTAAATTTTTGTTTGTGGATGAGTTGTTAGATATGTGATTAAAATAACATTCTTCTAAGTGCTACATATGAACAGAACAAGTGCCTTACCCGATTGTTTTCAGCTGCCCAGAGTAGCAATGTCTCTGGATTTTTTTCCATTTTCTTTTCTTGCATTTCATACCATTCCTCACTTCTTTCTTGCTCATCATCGTCATCATCGGATTGTCCTGACCAACAGCTCTGAGTCCCCACAGGAATCAAATGCCTGTGAGTCTCCAGCAGTTCAAGCTGATTAAAATGCTCTGTGAAGTCTTCAAACAACTCACTATCATCGTCGTCCTCATCGACTTGCTCTTCTTTATTCATTTTCAGTCAGCATCTGTGAGCAGCAAATGTACAATCTTGTTGTTTTACAATACAAATGGATGATGTGGACATCGACAAATACGAAAATTAAAGAGCAAACTCAAAGTTCCTCCACTAACCCGGCCCTTGTTAGCTCTGCCAGAACTCCCAGACAATATCCACGCTGGAAAAGCACCATGTTACCCCGGTCCCGAAACGGCACCACTTTGGGACGGGCAGCGAGAAGCAGCGCGAGGGTTTGCAGAGTGCACCCGGAGCGCTGCCCGTTTTCTTAACAAAG